CTTGTATCTGTAGACATTCATTTGCGCTCAGTTAAACCAGAAATAAGCAGATTCTCCACGCTCTAACTCTTTTCCACATGGTTCCTCCAACAGAGTGACCTCAAAGGACTTTTGGTGAATGTGCCCTGACCATGTTTCTTCTCCAGACAGTGACACACATTTTTTATGAACTCTGTTAACCAGTTATAGGACAATTGTCAAAGGAGTGGTGTCTGACTCACTCCAGTCCTCACTGCGCAGGTTGGACTTAGCACTGCAAGAGGGTGTGAACCTCAGTCAAAACCTGAGAAATAAGCAGACTGTGACAAATGAAAATCATTTGCCTCCTCACTCACCTTTGCAAGCCCTGGAAGTGCTCTGTGCCTCACTGACTTTACATGGATGTAGTAGCTGCTGCAGACCTGGACAGACATAGAAAAATTTTTCAGAGTAAATTCAGATCCTCTGAATCTGGGTCTTGGCAGGCAAAAGACCTGTGATCTCATGGTACTTATAATCTCTGTTGTGTACAAATAGTTTCGTAAGTGTTTTGAATGCTCTCTTGTAGATTATTCTACTTCCAATGATCACTTTGCTACTTTAAGACCACACACATGAAAAATTCTAGTTGCTTTTATAGAAGGAAGCCAAGAGCTTACAGCAACATTCTTCATGACCCAAGTAACAAAATATTGCTTGTTAGATAATAAAGATGATAAAGAATGTTGTTTAAATAGCAACATCTATGACTATGGAAAGCAACAGAATGCCGAACAGCTAATGAAGAATTACATCTGATGGTTTTGCTTTAGTAATATTGCTGATGGCTTTAACTCAATAAACTTGGACCTTGCAAGTCCAAGTATTCTGATGGCCAGCAATGTACTCAATGAAAGCACCTAATCGACACCAGCAGAAAATCTGACCCAGTATCTGAAGGAACTTGGATTTGGCCCACAAGTTCAGCAGTGAACATTTCCATAGGCCCTATGCCATCCAGGCTTTTATTCCAGCCCAGCCTTTTACTGTAGTTCCCTTTGGAGAAGATAATGCCTGTTAGCAAACAAAATCACATTGGTAACATCAGCTCACGTGGATGGTCACTGCTCCAATGCAGAGCCTTTATGCCACATGACTCACACCCAGCTATATATAGTGCCAATACATGATGGCAAAAACCTTGCTTGACAGTTCTTGGGAAAAGTCTTCTATTTTTGCTTTGCTCGCAAATCATGAGGTCACAAATCCCTCTGAAAAGGATGAGTGAAAAGCGTAGCAGCTAGTGTGCTTCAGAAGTACTTTCTATGCCTACAGATACCTAGAATAGGCCACTGGATGGCTTCTAAGGAAGACAAACACCAGGCAACCGCATTCGAGATGATACAATAAATCTCCTTATGCATATCTATTTCTGAACTAGCATGTTAAGCCTTTCTTGGACTCTGTGTTTTAAGCAAAAATCCACTAATGTAACATTAGCTAGACCTCTCAGGAGTTTGAGATATATTTATTACAAGTTTTCAGAAATATTCTGGGAGCATCTGGGAGCATCTGGAGCTAACAGCCTTGGCAAACCGGAGGCAAGCCAACAATGTCTGAAGCAGCTACAACCCTATCGTGATGATAAACAGCCCAGGGTCCAGATGTCCATATATGGCAAGACTTCCTATAAGACTGACAGTCCTGTATGTGCATTGCGTATGGTTCTTGGATCAGATTCACATTCCTCGGGTATGTTTCTCTGGGAGCTTTTGATTTCCGCTTTGAGGGCTGGCTCAGACCTCCAGTTGCTCTTATAAGAAAATATCTGTGACTGAAAGTTGAAAATGTGCAAGATTCTTTCTTTAAGTACACAAACACTCCAAGTCTAGCCACTTTCCTGCAGTCTTGCCAGGTTTTCAGTATGTCTGATATCGGATCAAGTGACTTTTGGGGGAAAAGAAAAAAAAAAAAAAGGAGGAAAAACACAAGCAAGAAATGCAGCATATCCACACCTGTGCATTTTACAAGATTTCACCAAAGGAACTGTACCAACCAAAGCTGATATAGACACACGCATACCATATATAGCTGTGTAAATAAATCTGTAGGGCCAGGGTAGTGAATTCCTAATTTCAGTAGAAAAAATATACTATCTTAAAAGCATGTGCTGTATAAACACCAGCATGGAAGTCAAAGTTAGTGCATTTTAACCTTTTGATGCACCAGCTACATGAGATACTTCTCCCACTCATGACCCGCTGTTCCTAAAGATCTACCCTTGCTTCCGCATTAATCCATGAGCGCATGTCCATGGAGACCCATGCTATTTGGTGAGTCATCCTTAGAGGCACAGGAACCCAAGTGACAAACCTGATGAACTCCAACTCTTGTTCAATTGCATTAGCTTTAACGACTTTTAATGCAGTGGCTTAATGCCTCGTTCAGAGTGGTGGAAGAGCAGAATTAGTTCTGAGAGCCAAATGTCTATTTAAGGTCTATTTAAGTCTTTTTTTTTTTTCTCAGGGTGGCTAGTGGACAGGGATTGCTGTCCTTGGCCCACAGTGTGAAGAGTTAGGACAGATTTATCCTTTAATTTTGGATTTCCTGGCTTTCTGGTGGTTTGTTACTTTTAAACACACTTTTTTCTGTCAGTGAGATTCTTAGGGTTTTGTTTAATAAAATTGTTTCTCCGAAAAAAAGGTCTTACATGGAAAGTTATAAAACATGTCTAGAGCCTCTCTCTCTCTGATGTTCTCCTACCATATTTAGGCATTTAAAAAAGGCACTCTGTTTACCTGGTTACATTTGCATTTTGGTATGCATGTCATACATAATTTGGTACACATTTTATTTACTCAGTTCTGAGGCCATCAGAGTCTTTCAAGTAAACACAGATTTTGGGAGGCCCCATCAGTTTGGGAACCTATATTATTTACCTTAACTGTTCCTCTGGGACTTTATTTTTTTCTTTCAAATACAATCTTATTTCTTTTAATGGAGATCAGCAAGTAGAAGGAATGACATCAAAGTGTCTTTACCAGCCAAAGAACAGTGCTGGCCGACTCTAAATACAGCTTTGCAGTATAATACACCCTGAGGTTTGAAATGAAAGTATTTCCTTTTCCCTCAAGAATCCTGTGTACACATACTGCTGCATCATAGTGTGAAAGTATGCATGAGGAAAGGAGGGGGTTGTGACAGCGGCAGGAAGACTACGTGCAGAAGGTTATGTCTTTTAAGCATAACCCTCCGATTTCGATTTGCCTAACAGGATGCATTAAACCTGTCTCTACCATTAAACGCTGACATACCCAGCAGGTCAAAAGCCAAGACGCAGGCATTCCTCGTGTTAAAGTGGAGGTCAAACAACATGACATCACTGAATATTCAAATGATACATGGGGAGGTGGGAGGAAGAACCATCCTCCGGGTAAAGAAAAAAAAAGAAAAAAGAAAACCACAACTGTTATCTGTAATGATTTAATACAAACCACAGAGCTTAGGTTTGGGGTTTGGGCAAACACAAACCACAATGCTTGGGTTTTGGCAGAACGGGGTGACATGCTGAGCTCTTCTTGTCATAGTATTAGGCTGGGCAATCAGCAAGATTAGGAAGCAGGGATGTGCTAAGAATGTGTTGCTCCGCAATGACAGCTGCAGCACACAGGCAGTGGGAAAATAATAGCCACTTCTTCCATGCTTCAGACTCAGTTCTTTGTGCCAAATATTTCAGAGTAAATAGGCACTCTCTCTATTCATAGAGAGCATCTATTAGGAAAGGGACACATTACAAATATTCGGTATGATTCAGTAGTACACAGAGTCAATTTATATCCTGTAGTGTAATTATACCTTTTTTGGTAGTAACAAGATGCTCAGAATATTCCCCACTCAAAATCTGGTACCCCAAGGTGAAAGTCATGCAGGTAGGTAGGAAGGCTGGCCGGCGACCCCCTAAAGAGATCGGCAGACATCAATCCACCTTTGAGAGTTACGCAAGCCTTGCACTTTCCAGCCAGGGGAGGCAAGAAAGGGGGAGAGGAAAAAAAAAAAAAAAGAAAAATAAAGAATTCCTGTGGCCCTTCCTAGCAACCATCCCCGCCACCTCCCTCCCCCCCCTCCCCAAGGGGCTGCCTGTCACAGCCCCAGTGGTGTGTGCTAAGTTGCACCGCGCATCAGTGCAAATGGGTATGGAGTAAATAAATAAATAAACACAATTTTAAAGAGGATAATATAGAGGAACAGGCTCCCCTCTATGGCAGGTACGAGGTGGGGAGCAAAGAGTCGCTGGCAGCGGTGAGCCGTATGAAAAAGAAAGGGAAGGAAAAAGGGGAAAAGGGGGGGTCACAGGG